TCTTCATTCCTGAACTCAAATCAGATGTATAGGTCAGTAATTGACCATAAAGTCCAGAGTCTAGTCTGTATGTAGTGACCTGTCACACTCTGATTGGTATTTAGGTTTAAGTTCACGTGGAGAGAGTGTGTCACAAGTCATGCTCTGGTTGGCGGGAACCTGAACTGTTTTATAACCTCGGATACCTGATGGTGCCGGGGGAGTTAGATGCTTCTGATTTTTATAAAGTTTGAATACTTGTTAAACATGAAATGAAACATTGCATTTCCTCCCTCATTTGTATCGTATCCTCGACTAATGACGTAATAAAAGCACTTTGTGCATCTGATCCGTAATTGAAATTTAATTCTGGTTTCTTATTGGATTGTCTTTAACATGTGCATGTCTTAACAAAGTGCACATTGTCAGCTGGACATTTTTAATGAGATGGATATCTTTGAAACATGTTTTAAATAAACTAATCAAATGAAATTCTAGTTTATGAATCATTTGAAAGTACATTAGACATTTTTGAAAACAACAAGACGGGACACTGCATTTCCTTTCTTTTTATCAACCACTACATTGCCTGTGACTATTATAATCAAAGAAATTTTTTTTTTCATGGAAATGATAAGCATGCTTTGGGAAGAAAGTGAGTAATGTGGTTGACCTGGAAATGTCACTTAAATATTTAGTTTATTTGGTACTGTATGCTTAATTCCTGGACATAAATATACCAAATGAGTAAATCTAAGTAATATTTTCAGTACTGTAAATATAGAAATTTATGTATGTAGGCACTTTCTGCTAAATACATACTAGGTAATAAAGATAGATTTCACTTATATAAAACCCACCAATACCTTTCTTAATAATTAATCAGTTGAACAACACATTTTTTGTAGTGAGAACATACCAAATGCACAATATGGATTTCTTTTTCCTAAAATCCATGTTTTAAAGAATGAAGACAGATACTCAGTTTTGTGAAGGAATCCCACTTTGTTCAGGGGGAGATTCAGAATTCAAAGTCAGTGGGCAGCAGCCCAATAGGGTGAGATCTATGGGTTTCATTTTCTGTATATAAAAAAAAATGCTGCAGAACTGTAGGAATCCCACTCTGGTAAGGGGGCAGATGCAGAATTCAAAATCAAGGGGCAGGCGCTCAGACAGAAAAAGCATTTATCTGTCTAATTAGTTTCTCAAGCAGAGAGCTACACTTCTTCAGCTATGGTCTGCTTAGAGGTTCCCAAAGGGACAAAGTATGGTGGGGCTTTGAGTCAATGATCCAGTATGCTAAAGATGGCATAGGCAAGAATGGGGTCTTTTAAGTTGACATTTTATATTTATCTTGAATTTGAAAATTCTTGCCCCTGCCTCCCCCATTACATCCACCACTGTTGGCCAAAAGCTTAGCATTCTTCATTGAATAACTGAATGTTACAGTCCGTAGTCACAGGACTGGTTTCTATATATAGCGATTTTACTGTCCTATAGCTGATTGTTTATTCTATATATAGTGCGGTGATATAGATCTGACCCTGGATTTGTTTGGTTTACACCCTGTTCACCGGCCTTAGCGGTCACCACCTTACTCTGTAAAGGTTCATAATCATCAGTCTCGATTAACTGATGGATGACTGATCTGAACTTAATTGTGCCCCCAAACTATCCCTTTATAGTGATCTAAAATTTGATGACTAGGATTTTCTCACCCATTTCTATTTTTTTCAGTTTCCCCTGCTTTTGTGACTTAATCAGATTGTGTAAGCTTCTCCATCATAACGTGAATGTAAGGTGACAGTAATTCCTGTACTATACTTTTCCTCCTGCCTTTTTTGTATCAGATAGCAGATTCTCAGACTTGTTTTTTAACAAAGACTGACAGTATTGTAGATGCTGAGTAACATGTGATTGTAAACATGCCGTTTGTCCTTGGTACTTAATTACGTGCTCGTTGCTCAGTTATGTTCAGCAAACTTCTGTTATATTTTTATTGTTGTTCACTCTACACATTAAAAAGAACCCTAACATATGATTTTAATGAGAAACAAGCAAATTTAAAGAATTGTTAGAACTCTGGCTTTTGGGGTCTTGTTAGATAGGGTGTAATAATTTATATAGAATATTGTAAATTGGCCTTGTAAAAGAAAATGTTTTATATATCATGAGCAGTACATTCTCTGCAAAAATAATGAAGTTTCTGAATGTTTTGTCACAAGAAATGCACATGAAATGGTATGACTATGAAAGGTAATGATTGATTTGAAATTTTTGAAGAGTGTAGTTCAATTTCCAAGGTCACAAGGTAAAAAATTTATCATACAGTAACAGTGTAGGTATTGAAGTCTTGTCACAGGTTTTGCTGGTGGAAAACTATAAAAACTGTGTATCTTTAGGTGCAAAAACCACAGAAAAATGTAAATGTCTTTTAAAATGTTCAAACTTCAGGGTCACAAGGCAGAAAATGATACACAAGTACTTCTTGTCACTGCCTGACAGGTGATGTACCTATGAAATATGAATCTTCTATCATCTGTCATTCAACAACTATTACCAGTGATAAAAGTAAAAAACTTTATACTTAAAATCATAAGGTAAAAAATTTAATTGTGTTTGTGAAACAAACTTCAAGGTCAAGGGATCAAGAAATGTAGTTAGCCTAAGAAAGGATTTGCCTCATTGAGTATGTCTGTAAAATATGAAAGCTCAAACACCAACCAGTCAAAAGTTATGAACAAGTGTAAAGTTTTGTTTTTTTTTAAGTGGATCAGTATTTTTGTTTCACATTTTCATCTTTTTCTCCAGAAACATGGGAACAATGTCAACCAAATTTTCCACAAGAAATTAGGCTATTCCCCATGACAATTGAAGGACTATGTACTCTTTCAAGGGGAGATGTTTTTCAATTGAAAAAGTTATATTAATTTGTTCAAATCATGAGCCCAGGAGTAGGTAGGGAACACAGTAGACATTCAAAGCTTTGTATTGGAATATTTAGGAAAAATCATCTTCAAAGAACATTAGGCTTTATTTTTCCTTATGCCGAATGAAAATGATTTTTTTTAGGTTTCTTTTATTCATTAAATTTAAATAAAAAACATAATTAAGGTTTCTTTTATTTATCATAAAATGACCAGAATTAAGTTTTTGTTATTTTATTATTGGCAATTAAATGTCTTATTTGGAGGCTGCATTTCACACACACACAAATACATATGTCACAGACTCACAGTAGTACTTTTAGTAACAGATCTGAAGACTTTACTTATGAGAAAGATCTTTAAGGAAAAAAAATCAGAAATAAATCATTGAAATCCAATTTCTGAGTTTTGTAAATCTATTAATGTCTTGGACAGAAGTGTGGTGCTGTCACTGACATTTAATTAAGTGCACATCAAATGACGTAAAAAAGTTGTATCTTCATTGAACTCTTTTTGCCTACACTAAGTGCTACATTATTGACTGCATATATATATATATATATATATATATATATATATATATATATATATATATATATATATATATATATATATATGTATAGATGTTTTTTTTTTTCAAAATTTTGTAATAAATACTTTTAAAATTTCATTTCAACTTATGTAGAAAACATTAAATTGCCGCACAGGTAAATTCTGGAAATGAAAACAAAATCATGTCGGAAATGAAAACAAAAAATGTCGGAAATGAAATAATAAAATGTCGGAAATGCTATGCATACTTCCGGAAATGAAATGCAGCGTATTTGGAAGAAGTTTAAAGAAAATAATATCATGGAAAACAGTGTCCTAGTTGAACTGAACTTTCTTACATAATTCTGTTTGACAAAGATTTAGCAGCTGAATGATAATGTATTCAGAGCATGGATTGTCCCTAAACAGTGTCTGTATTTATAGTAACTTTTAAAACAGGAAATGGATGTGAGAAAATTGTTTGGTTTTTTTTTCTAAGATTCAAATATAGATATACCTGAAATGATTGATAGAATGACAAAATTAGGAGGAGAGAGCTAGATATATCTGAATTGATTGACAGCCATTAAATATGTGTGGGAGAAAACAAAAAATTGTCCAATCTCTTTCTAGAAAAACTGTACTTTACAAAGAAGAAAAAAATGATATTCATTTTCTTTTTCCTTTTTTTATGGATTCATTTATTAAATTTCAATGCATATGTCAAAGGTAGAAGCTCATGGAATGTAATTTTAGATTGCAGTTAAGTTTTTGTCTATTAACATTTCTAATTTCATCTTTTTCTCAAGAATAATTTGTCTTATTTCAAGCAAGCAGTCACAATATTCCTCATATAAACAGGACTGTGGTTGGTTTCAGTATGGAACCTGTTTTCCAAAAAAAGAAGGGGGGAGAGAGAGAGAGAGGAGGGATTGATAAATACTATAAAGAGGATGTGTTATTTTGATCAAATCTTCTTTTTCATTGTTTCCTAAACATATTCAAACTATGAAAAAAGGTATTTGAAATAAACAAAAATGATATAAAAATCCACTGTAAAATTAAGGCTACAAAAGACATTATTTGTGTTCTTTTTTTAAATCTTATCAGGTGAGCATTCTGGCCCAGGGGCCACTCTGTTAATATTGCATATTTGTTCTGCTGTAAAATCTTCATCAATTGTTCTAAATATTAACAAACATATTTGTTTAGTTTGTTTAGCACACTTCAAATTCTCAGCTTTTGACCATAGAAAGCTTTTATGAGTAAATTCTTTTATTAGATTATTTTTAAAGAATTAATAAAAGAGACTAATTTGTTCAAAAAGATTAAATCTAATTCATCAAGGCTGTTTGATTTTGACAGTTACATAAAGCTAGGGTGCTAGCAGGGCTTGGGTTTCTATTCTTATCTGCTGGGACCCTGGTCACTCTAGGTGTTCACCTGTGTTCTAATGTCTTGTTTACGATTTACCTGAAGTCTTAGTCACTTGATTTAGCATGATCCATTGAAAGCAGCCACACGGAGGTAATCGTAAGATAGAGATCAGCACACCTGGGAGAGATACCTGGTCTTCGGACATTTCTCAATCAGCTGATCAGTTTCTCTCCTCTGAGAGTCTATAATTGTGAATGCTCCACAGAGGAATATCTGTGTTAGATTATCCGGTGCATCGCTCTGTTGTAGATGGAGCCAGTGATGAGTGAGGCTGACTTTTGTATTCGCCTCACAGGCAGCTACCAGGGGAGATAACCTGGTCTCCTGAGCCTTCATTCTCATGGAGAACAATGATCAGTCATTATCCTAGGATTATTTTAATTTCCTGATTTTTTCTGTTTTACATGACAATACTTTGTGATCAAAAATGAGTGAAACTTTGTCTGTGACTTTAGAAGACATTTCAGAGCATTCCAAAAAGCGAGTGAAGCCAAAGAGGCTTAGTTTTGTTCAGAATAACCTGCTGGGCTTGATGAAGTCTGTTTTTCCACTACAGGTCTACAAAGTGGTGGTCAACTTTGGAGACTTTTCATGGTTCATCTTCAGAAGATACAATGAATTCCACAGCTTGTATGAAAAGGTGAGTGGAATTTAAAGATATTTTTTAAACAAATAGCTATTCATCGTTTTTATCATAAATTGTTACTGAATGTTGTATAATTGCATGTTATTCACTCAAGTATGCACTCTGCAGATTTGACCTTCTGTAAATGTCATATTCATCATACATATATTGTAAACATGCATGTACTTGAAAATCAAGGTTGTGATATTGCACAAAATTTCAAAAGTGCAATTTCCAGTACCACTGATATGCCAACTATCTTGCTTGAATTTTCAAGAAGTAGAATTGTGCATATTTTATCATACCAAACAGTAAAATTAGCTACCATATGTCAGGCCTCTAGCTTTCATATAAATATGGAATATATGAAGTATATAAATACCATGATAAAATGTTCTGTCATGCAGTCAGCTCATGAGGTAAGAGAAAGTGTAGGCTTGACTGAACAAGACCCAGTAAAATCAGTCTCTACATCATAAAATATGACAGACTTCACCAGATAAAACAGAAGCTACAGCTTGATTGGGTAGGGTGATTGATGAGAAAGATACTAAACCAAGGCAGCAGGCAGCTGTATAATATTCCTGCCTTTGTCAAAAATTATGTCTACAGAAGTTTTATTTTATTATAAATATTCAAAATTCATATTACTGCAATGCATTTAGATCCATTTGTATGTGATTGATTATGATAAAGGACAAAAAGGCACAGATGCAGGTGGGAGCACTGATGACTTGGGTCTCCCCTTCCATTTTGCCCATGTAACCTCATAAAACTCTGTCCTTGACCCAGGAAATCTCTTCAGATGACCTGAAAAGTATAAGTTTTTTACCATAAATTCAGTAATTAAGTATGAAGTCTGGGAGATATAATAAAATTTGCAAGTTAACACATTACAAAAATGTTATGATGATTGACTTTTGACCCAATGTCCCCTAAACTGAAGGTGTTTTCCTCTAACCTTCACATTGACAATACAATCCAGAAAATTAATGCCTGAATTAATATATATTTTCATGTAATATTTTGATTGAAACATAAAATGTCTAAAATACAGAAATTGTAGTCTTTTTGATGTTCAAAATGCTACCATTTTGCTATCATCCTTGTAAATCTATTCAAAATTTTATCACTTTATAGGAGTCCGACATAGTTTTAATGTTTATAACCTATTCATTTTACTTACCTAAACTTCAAGATTTTGAAATAATTTTCATGATTTTTTTTTTCAAGTTTTTGATATCTATTCTGTTTTTAATGAGAAAACATAAAGACAGTAGGGTGAAAATTACCTGAGTTTGTTTTGCATTAAAGTGTTGACAAAGGGACATTTTTAATACCATTAATGATTCTATAGAGCATTCACATCTTAATGCTTGGTCCAAAGACAGGGGATCATAATTATTGTCTTCTCTCCGGGAACTAAAGATGAGTGAAAGTTTCAGGGCTCTAGCTCATAGTTAAATTGTTAGCATAGTAGGGTATCATCACTGAATTTTCTAAATTCTGAAGTTGGCACTTTAGTTGTAGGTGGTGTAGTTTAAATATGGAGATTATGAACTATTTTGGGTGGAATGTTAAATATATGTTCAACCATCAAAAAAAAGAAAGATATTTGGAGATTGCCCTTGACCTATAACTTTTTAGAGTATTTTTTTAATCAACTCAAAATGGTTGATGTTTTATATGTCAAAACCCACCTACATATTAAAACAACTGTCTAATTATTACCAGTATGTCTCTAAAATCAGCATTGTCACTGATGAGTAATAAAAAACAAAATGTTTAGTTGCCTAGGTGTACTGCGTAGTTATTTTTTATGGACCTCCATGAAAAGGTTAGACCCTCAGTGTAAATTCTGTACTTAAATCACTGTTTAGCATTCCTTGAGGATCCCATTTTAGCATTAGAATAAAATGTGAAATCTTTTTGTCATGAACTTAGGGTCATATGAGTTCATCTGATAGTTCATCTCTTGCCTATATAAGTAAAAAGAGGCTGTCCTCAGTGTTACAGTACCTATTAGTCCACTGTCTTACATTACTATAAGGTACGTGCTCCACTTTACAGAGATAAGGTACGAACCAGAGAGTCCTATCTTATCCACTGTTTATAAACAGGAGTAACTGTACCGCCTTACCTGGTAATATTTTGGAGCAGGCCGTCCTTGAATCCAACCTTAACTTGTCCTTTACTAATGCTAGCCTCGACGTCTATTGTAGTAACATTATATAAAGCTCTCTGTAACCTCAACCCTAATGACATAAGTACATGTATTAATTTCACTATCTTTCAAAAAATGAGAGCTATAGATACAAATTATTTTCAAAATATTTTGCTGCATAGTCAAAATATTTTATTATTTCGCATGTAATGTTTTCATAATGATGCAGAAACTGACAACTTAGAGAGTAAATCTTATTTTCAATAAGTCATCTATGTGTATCATATACATTAAAGCAGAGACATATAGATTCAATGTACTTAATTAACTGTTCCCTTCAGAAGTATACGACAATGACAAGAATGTCTGAAGTATAATGTGTATACATGTAATTCTCCTTTATCAGGTTTAACACGCAGACACATTAACTGATTTTGTTAATTTCATTTGATGAGGTATGACGGAGTAGTTATAACAGATCGATCAATCAGATGGAGAATATATAAGATGTAAACATTGTACCACAAGTCAGGTGTCACGGTGTGGGGAATTCGTTACACTCGGAGTGACTGAAAGAGAATATTTCTGTTGATACAACAAAACACCTGAGTACCTGATCTTGGTATCAATGTATATCTTTATAACTTCTCAGAACATTCACTTTCAATGCTAAATAATAAATATAGTTGTTTATATTTACTTATTTAAAAAGTAACCAGAACTTGATCTGATATGCGTTTTTTATTAAATCAGAAAAATTAAAGTGACGCAATGTTTACTGTTTTGTACGAGGGGCGTTCAATAAATAATGTCATTAGCTCGATGACATACAACATAGTAGTCATATGACATAAAGCTTGACTTTCTCTCATTATTGAATCTTTAATGAATTTATAACAGTTTATGTGACCACTTTTCATCACATAGTTTTATCGTGAGAAGCTGGGAAACAAGGGCTATTCGAGACACTGCATTATAAATGAATGGTAAAGAATCAGTAAACTAGAGTGAAAATAAAAGCTACATTAAAGCTGCTGTAAAACTGGTTAAAAATCCCAAATAAATATTCACTGAAATATGTGACATTTACAGCAGCCGATGCCTGTTTTATAGAAAAATTAGCAGGTGGATTTCAAAGATCAAAAATTATATAATGGGCATCCAAAATGGGTACTTAATAACAACTTATGTACTGTTTGCCAAATTTCAACAAATAACATTTGATGTTGTATGATTGACTTTAAGACACATAGCAAATTTGATAGACATCATATCTTAGTTTACACTGTTTTTAAGAAACGTTTGACAGTAATTAAGCTTGGTACTCTAAGGTCACCCTGTATTTTGAAAAATGAGTGAAAACGACAGCGTGTACAAAAGTCTTAACAATTATTTTAAAATATCAGTAATTGTAGTAATCCACGTTTGTTTTATATTCAAACAGATATTGGAACATGAATCTATTGCTTAAAACCATTAAAATAAAATTTACCATTAGATGTACTTGATAAAAACGGCGAAGGTCTGTCAAGAGCAAAGGTATGCAAGAGCACAAAAACAGATTTATATGCAATTTTCTTTAAATATTGGTGGTATTATTGTTCAAATTCGTATTCGGGGAGACCATACTTGCCAACCTCCAGCATGCTTATGTAAAAATCTGGTCATGACCAGATTTGGAAAGTAAAAAATCTGGTCATAACGCGTAATGACATTCACGACATATTTACCATGATTAAATTTTATACATAATTATATATATACAAAGTATTTGAGTATTGAGAATATAAAAAGCTTTAATTTACAATGACAAAAAATTCATACATAATTTGATTAAATTTACATGTTAAAAAAGAGAATTGAAGGTTTCATATTTCAGTACTGACCTGAAGTAAGTGTGCATTTTTTTTTTAAAAAGCCTTTTCAGCTTCTGCTAAATTTGAAAGTATACCAATTTTAGTTTTGAAGTTATTTTTCCTCTCTCTTGATTAATTAACTACTGCAATATGTATATATTAAATGTGAAGTTAGGCCTACACTGTTTTCGATCACTTTATTTTATCTAGAATGAAAGTTTTTTTTCCAAGATTACTTGATGTGTACATAGAATCAGATGTTTTGTTCAATTTGTTCCTGCTGGCCCTGATAACGATATAGTTCAATTGGAAGCCATTTTAATTGACTTCAAACATTGATTTGTCAAAACAACACCCAGTGAATTGTTTACACCTGCACTGATAATTAATCCATCGGCATTGTTTACGTAATTGGGTTGTAACTGGAAGTTAAAAGTGCAACCTAATTTACGAACCAAATCCGGAAATCGGGAGATTTTCGGGTTGGTCGGCAAAAATCGTGTGAAAAGCATGACCCGCCTGGTCATAAAAAATAATCGGGTTATGGGTTGAAAAATCGGGTGTGAATAATAAATATATTTAATATCTGGATGTTTACAGTTTTATTTAAGAATTTCTTCATGACAGCGTTTAAACCCGCATGCCCTAAAGAGTAAAGGGGTTTACTGGATAAACAGAAAGTTAATTTTTTTCACATTAACAATATTTGCCAGATCTTTGACCTTTTGACTTGTTTCTATTTCCAAACTTGAATAAAACACCTTTTAGAAGAAAAAACAAAAAAGGAAATCATTGAAAAATTAAAATTGGATAAAAAATGTTACGGACATGTGTTTGAATTAAAATAGATTAATAAGTAAAATCATGAAGACTAAACCATTGAAAAGCGTCGTTTGCTTCTTTCTGAACCCCAATGACATTATTTATTGTATTTATCAGAAGTTAAACAGTAAACAAACATTTTCTTTCTGATATCCCCTTACACTTCTCATGCA